GATTACCTCATATGAATAGGAGGTAAATCATAATTATAATTAGTGATAATTATTAATTATTCTACTCGTTCATTATCACTTTATGGATCAGTATCTAACCTTAAATTCATTTGATATTGTTTATTTGAATTGTCCAAATTTTATTTGGGACTACGAATGATCACTCTCTTTTATTGGCATATATGTATCCTGTTTCGTCCCATTTCAGACTCTTCAGGACTCATCAGCTTAGTGGATAATGTGATGGCGTTTGAAGAGGATGGTAATAGGTTCGAGTCCCAGAATGAACACCAACTCTGAGATGCAAGTACATCCGGCCGACGAGTCCCAAATAGGACGAAACGCACGCCCTGGATTCCACTGCTAGCCACTATCCAACTTTTCTTATAATGCTTATCAATTAAGGCAATATCGGGATGCACATTGCTGAGTTCATTGATGAATTACTTTGAGATATGTTCTTGATTTCCTAATGGGTAATTGTGATTAGTGAAGTTTAGATATGCTGAAAGTGAAGCAAATGTCATCGATGGTATTTAATTATTTTCAAACTATATCTAGATTTAACTGCAAGTACTTACTTACTTACGCCGGACACTCCCAATGGAGCATGCGCCACTGACTAGCATTCTACAACCCATTCTGTCCTCGACCGTCCTTTCAAGTTCCTTCCAATTGTTGTTCATTCTTTCCATGTCCGTCTCCATTCCTCAGTATAATATGTTCTTTGGTCTTCCATATTTCCTTTGGCCTTGAGGATTCCAAGTGAGAGCTTGATTTGTGATGCAGTTGGATGCTTTCCTCAATACTGCGTCCTATCCACTTCCAACGCTTATTCCTGATTTCTTCCTCCGCCGTAACCTCATTTATTCTCTGCCACAGTAGGTTGTTGCTGATAGTGTAGTGTCTGGCCAACGAATCAGAAGTATTTTGTATAGAAAACTGTTGATAAACACTTGTATCTTCTGGATGATGACTTTCGTGGTTCTCGACGTTTCTACCCCATACAGAAGAATTATCTTGATATTTGTGATGAAAATTCTGACCTTGGTGTTGGTTGACAATTGTTTTGAGTTACAAATGTTCTTCAATTATAAATATGTTGCTCTTGCTTTTCCGATCTGCGTCTTCACATCTGCATCAGATCCACACTGTTCATCAATGATGCTGCCCAAATATGTAAATGTTTTTACATCTTTAAAAGTTTCTCCGTGGAGTGTGATTGGATTGTTGCATGTGTTGTATCGGAGAATCTTGCTTTTCCCTATGTGTATGTTGAGACCTATTGCTGCTGAGTCTTCTGCTACACTGGTTATCTTCTCGTGCATTTGTTGTTGCGTGCGTGATAGAAGATCCAAATCATCTGTGAAGTCTAGATCGTCCAACTGCATCCTATCCGTCCATTGTATCACATGCTTCCCCTCAGATGTTGACGTCTTCATGACCCAGTCGATCACTAGGAGAAAGTGGAAGTAAGCAACCTCAATTGCAAGTAGGTGAACACTATTTAGGGACATCAATATCAGATTGAAATCATTCCTTAGTACTCTCTCACTATTTATATAAACAAATGAAATTAATCTTTGACAATTACACAATTAAAAACTACATCATTTTATAACTAGCTAATCAGTACCGGTAATTTAAGGTTAAATCACCTATTGGACAGTGTAATCTAGTTCATTTACAAAACTTGAGAATAAAAAGTATTTCTTTTTACTTGTAAACATAAAAATAAAATAAATCACACTTACTAACCTTAACTCGACCTGGATACAGTTACTTTTTGTTAAAAGTAACACAGAAAGTTGTAAAAGAATTCCTCAAAAATAATAACACTGTCAACTAGTCCAAACTGTTTACCTGTATAGAAATCAATTAATTAATATGGTATCTTTAACAATATACGTTTATCCTCTTAAAGAAGTTATTTCTCAATACTTCTTTAATGAGTAATCTATTACGATAACAAATTGGCGAGTCTATAATTTATGGACGAATCAATCACGTATAGGATAACAGGTTTTGGATTTTGGCCTGAAATTCACTCATCCATCTAGCTAAATACTTTTGGTATTATAGCTGATGTCAGTTCATGATGAAAACCCTAAATCTAATTTCTAACTTTAATCCTCAACTGTACATCATAATTCAAATTTCTGACACTGGTTTATAACCATCATTTGGTCCTAGTTATTAGGTGAACACTCTTAAGGTCAGTTTAGCGTTGCTCAAAGGTCTTCCATAAATTATAGTCTTACCTAACAAATCTTAGGAAGAATATCTCACTGAATGTAAGTGTAGCTTTTGTTTAAATAAAAAAATGTAGGCACAAAGTTGACAGAAACTATGAAATTTTTCATAAATAAATCTAGATAGTTTTATGAGTAAACATGAAGGATGTTTAGCAGCGGAATTCAGGACGCGCCTATTTGCAAATCGTCAGTTAGATGTACTTACATTTCGGAATTAGTGTCCACTCCGGAGCTCGATCCCAGTACTGTTCGCTTCAAACGCTATCACGTTATCTATTTAGCTACTAAGTTCAGATAACCACCAGCTTGTGCAGTGATGTTCACTTCAGGACTCGAAGAGACTGATCAATTGCAGTCTTAAACATCAATAGGAAGATTTAACGAAACAATACTAAATAAATCTAGATAGTCTTTTTTTATTGTTTAATGATCAAACTGATTAGATGAAATATCTTGAAAATTGGAAAAAGATACCTGAAAATGAATGGAATATATTCAAAAAACAAAAACTGACATTGTATAAGAAAACAAAAACATGTGACTTATAGGTAACGCTCATTATAAATTGTTAGTATTTACTGGTTGATTAAAAATTTGCGAGCATTAAATAGTTATTTTTTTCAAATCTGGAACTCTTCACCAGTATATACGCCAAATATCATCAAGTGTTATAGTGAGAAGTCGTTACCAGTGGAGTTCAACCAGGTCTGTTGTGAGATATCAACTCACTGAAAACAATGGTGTACGGTGGCGCAACTTCATGGATTGGTTGAAGTTAGACATTAACACCGTTGGATGCCGGCTCAGTAGTTTAGTTGGTTAAGCGCCTGGCGCGAGACTGATAGGTCCTGGGTTCGCATCCCGTGGGGGCCGGGACCGTGAATGCGCACTGCTAAGGAGTCCCATACTAGGACGAAATGACCGTCCAGTGCTTCCAGGTTTTCCATGGTTGTCCAAATTCAATTGACTCATGATTTATATTGTCAAACATTAATCACTGTCTGATGAAAGTTATTATTATTATTATTATTATTATTATTATTATTATTATTATTATTAGCTTTATTCAATATTATATTTTTGGTATAATACAGAATTCTCTGCATAAAATATTTCAACAAGTTTCTCTTATTTCTTGATCAATCCTGATGATAACTATTGGGTGATCACTAGTTAGATGTTCATCGTAGTTCATAGATTGAAATCTGAATAATGTTCATTCATTTTAAAGCATACTGACAATTTGCAATCATGATGTCTTTGATTGAACTCTTTTGTAACTTGTACAATGAAAGGTCGTAAACTTTTCAGAAACATACCTGAATAGGTTATAAAACGAATAGGTATAATGATATTTTAAAACGAAAAAAAAACAAACAAACAGGTAACCTGTTAAAATATCTAGATGACAAGAACAGGTAGCCAGTTATCATGGAATTAAATAAATATTGTTTTAGAGATGATGATGTAAATGTACTTGATTTTTCTAAAAACAAATTACATTGAATCATTCATTTCAGTGAAGATGAAAATCTTGTAAACATTCCTTGAAGTTCAAAAACACAATTATTCTAAGTTTTGTCATACTACAGATGTTTATAACAATTTCTGCTGTTTATTTAAACATGTTTAATTTATATTATAAACTTAATGGTTAAATTCATGAGTCTATTAAGGCTAGACTATCATGGAAAACTTGGAAACACTAAACGGCCATTTTGTTGGATGGCCTAGAGTGTTCGCACGCGAGACTGATAGGTTCTGGGTTTGAATCCCGTAAAACAGGATCGTGGAAACGCACTGTTGAGCAGTCTCACACTAGAATAAAACGGCCATTCAATGCTTCCAAGTTTTCCATGATGGTCTAGTTTCAACTGATACATGAATTCAACTAGTTAATGACTAAAATCTCCATAAAACCCTCTTCTAGTAATAATGATATACAAACACTTAATATTTTAAATAACATATAAACAATATTTGAATAATCAGTATAGTGGTTGTGGTGATTGTTAAGTTTTTCATTAAGGGCATGAACCGATTGATGTTAGACCACCATTGAAAACCTAGAAGCACTGGACGGCCGTTTCGTTCTATTGTGGGACTCCTCAGCAGTGCGCATCCACGATCCCGCTTGCGGGACTCGAACCCAGGGCCTTTGGTCTCGCGCGCGAACGCTTAACCTACTAGACCACTGAGCAGGCATCCAGTGGTGTTAATGTCTAACCTCAATCAATCGACGAAATTGCGCGACCATCTTCCATTTTACTGAGGTAGACACCTGTTTCTACCCGACACGGATTAGCTCCACTGGTCACAGCTTCCCACCAGAACTCCGAGAATTTTCTCACGAAGCTAGTCACTAGTGAGCACATGGTAATTATCAGTGTAGGGGTTGTGGAGATTGTTAAGTTTTTGATTGAGATCATGAACCGATTGATGTTAGACCACCAACAGGAAGAAACGGCCGTCCAGTGCTTCCAGGTTTTCACTGGTGGTCTAACATCAATCGCTTCATGAACTCAATCAAAATATTTGAATAAACTGTCATGAATTCAGTCATCAAGTATCATCCTAATTAAAATAACATTTGCACAATCATTACAGATATCATCAATGATAAAAAAATAAAAAGATGAAAATATGTCACCAAATTAAATAGTGAATTCTAAAACTTCCTATTAATACATTAACTAATAAGAAGTGTTTACTGATTGGTTAATTTTATGCACCAATCAAATTGTAGAAATAACTTGATATTACAACACATTAGGATAATAACAGTCTCTAAGGCAATTTAGTTAATACAAAGAATATCACATTAAGTGATGATTTGATCTTTTTTTATTATAATGGATTATCTTAATATACGTTCGGTTACTGAATCAAAAAAATTATTTATGGGATATTCTATGTAAGTTATATAAACATTTTGATGATATTTGTAAAACATGAAAGTCATCTCACTCATCTCAGTATATTATTCTGTTCTTATTCTTGTTTTTTTCTTTTTTGATATCTCTTCTTTGAAAGCGACTTATTCGAGAAAATTAGCTTTCTTGAATACATATAACTCAATCATAAAATATAGTCATTTCATATAATCAGTTATAATGATCACAGTTCATACACCTTTTGTCCAATATATATATTATTTTGATATACATATATTGGTACAAGGAGGCACCAAATACATATACGCCATACAAATCTCATTTGATTTGTGTGAGGGCTGTGATACTGCCCGGGTTCCCAGACCAAGGCAGGTGGTTTTCTTTGGGGGGCCACACCCCGAGCCTTTGACCTAAAGGTATGACCCACAAGACAATGCGGCAACGTAAGGAAATGCAGTCCCATGGTAGCCGTTGACCAATAATTGATTCATACGCCATTTGTTCCCTCATGATACTGGAGCCCATGTGCACCATTGGTTTGGAATCAGGGTTTTCCAACCCTTCTAGGTGGGCCCTTCATGTCCACCAACCTAGTTAAAGCCCCGGACGTTCACTTTTCGTCCTCTCAATTTCGTAAACAACACCCCTGCCACGAGAAGGCATATATATATATATATATATATATATATATATATATATATATATATATATATCCAGTAATTCCAGGTTTTCCATGATAGTCTAACTTCAATTGAATCATGATCTCAACTAGTGAAACTGGTATATTTCACTTGTAAATTCTCGTCAGAAAACAAAGTCATCTGTCTTAATTTTGAGTTTCTCACGAAAACGTACGATTTTTTTTAAGGGAATTTTTATTTATATTTATTCATGATAATACATTATTCAAGTATTTAACCAAATACTAAACGATGTTGCCATTTATACTTGAAACTAGGTAAACATTTGTATTAAAATGTATTTCTTCAAAACACAAGTATATACTCGGATATGAGTCAGATTTTGTGTGTTAAGTGTGAAGATACAATTTCATTAGTCGATTTCGATGAAGTTTTGTTCTCTGAGCTGGATATTTTGGTCGTGGAACTTTCATCATTCTTCTGAACGACATCATCATCATCACAAACTTCAGATAGAGCTCCACGACTAAAACGTCCAGCTCAAAAAACAAAACACCACCAAAATCATCCACCTGAGCTACAAATTTTCACCCACCATCTCATAATTAGTTGATTTTAAGTTAGTGGGTAGATTTTGAAGCAGAGATCTATTAACTGAAAAATGAGAGAAGTAATTATTAAGCTATTGATTGGATCTCTTAAAGAATACCTATTGAAATTGATAAGTAAAGTTGTAAATCAACTCATCTGTGCATAACATTGTACAGTTCACTATACACTTTTTAAGTTAAAATAGGATGTGCTATATATTATAATGATAGATTGTTCCAAGTCTGAAAATACAGCAAATGTTCTGGATGATAAATGCCTTCATATCTTTTACTGTAGGATAATTACAGTGTTCATATGTGTTTTTCTTCATAAGAAACATAGTCCATTTACTTTCAACATATTTAACAATCAGATCTCTACACGGTTACTGTCAGGCCTCGAAATTCTAGATTTAGATCCTAGATTTTTTTAAAGAAATGCATTGTTTAAGAATTTTATAATAGGTTAATATAAAAATCCCAAATGCCGATCTGTCTTCACAATGCATCCCCTGTTAATTTAATAGATAGACAACTCAATACGATCAAATTACCGTTGTTTATTAACATACTGCTTATTTTAAGATTAGTTTGCTTCATCATGTTGTTTTCTTAGCCTTGTGACGCAGATACCTGCGTCCAATGTGTTTCACTGATTCCAAACACCGTCAGGTTGTATCTCTTCATTTCTGCAACAATTTAGAAGACTCTCTGGGTCTCCAATATTGTACGAGTATTCCATGTATCTAAATTAACAGTTGATCTGGTTGTTAGAAAGAGCATCAGCCTTATGAATTCCGAAGGAACTTGTCTTTCGACATGAGGCTTCATAACTCTTCTAAAAGAAAATCTAACACCCAGGGCAGAGTTCTAATAGTTTGGTTAGCGTTATTTTTAGCGAGTTGATTTTCTACGGGATGGGGTCGCTAACCCTATGCCAAACTCTTTTCCTTTATCCGTGCTTGGCACCGGCAGTAGCCCAAGAAGGGCTCCAGGCGAAGATATATCTTGTAATTAAAAAAAAATACAAAAACACTATAATGTTATAGCTTCATTTATTTATTGTAACTATGTGTTTGTTCTTTTGTTTCTGTTAAAATCAAAATAACAAAACATTAACGGTTATTCAATTGTACAAAGTTGATGTGTTTTTTTAAAAAAAAGAAACTTTATTCATATTTCTACTGACTGGATTACATTTGATTAAGTGACTATCTACAATGTCCCATGTTTTCTTTTTACTTGCTATTCATACATCATCAAATGATTATCAGATTGTTTGTTACTAGTGTCGCCGATATTTCGAGGACAGATAAGAGGGTGTTCTGTGTTTTTTTTTGTTGTCATGAGACACTGTATAAATGCCATATGGTATTATCGACAGATTTTATTTATTATAAGAAAATAGTTTCTAAGGCAAATGAAGTTATTCAAAGTTACACTTTTTATTCTTATTCTTATTCTTGATAATCTTCTTTTACATCTACAATATACCATACTGTAATAATAGTCATTTCATAATCAGTTTTATTTTCCACTTATTATGTTGAACATTATACTTTTCAACTTTAGTTAAGTTTCCTTTTCTCCTCTTTTCTTTTTGTTGTTGGTTGTTGTCACAAGAATAAACAATTTTGATCATGGAATGAATCATGTGATTTATCCTATTTGGTTTTAAAATGATCTAATATTGATCATGTGATAGGTGTTAGTTACCAACACAAAAACCAAAAAAAACAAAAAAAAATGGGATCCTTTAAAATAATCATAAAAACTAAGGAAGATTTTATGGATAAAATTCATATTTAAAATAGAAATTTTTTTAAATGACTAGATTTTGTCACTTATTTAATTGAAATGTCAAATACAAAAATCCGTAGATCATTGTCAAAAAATGAATAGATGGATCAAATACTATTTTACATTTAAGTGAAGTAATGATTCTGTGAATATTATCATCTTGATTGGTTATTGATAACTTAGATAATCAGTTGTGAGAAATTTAACTAATTCACTTCTATTTAAAGTTTATATTGATGATGTTGTTCAGAAGAGATAGAATGACGGTTGGAATTAGTTAACAGGGAAGCCTGGACTCGAGTTTCGTGCTAATTGGCATTCGTCAACAAGGTGTACCTGTAATCTTGAAGGAAATGGTACTCCCTGACAGATTCGATCCCATGTCACCCAGTTTCATAGTCAGAGACGTTACCACTGATCTATTCGGGCCGTGACTAACCTCCTGTATTACTGTGATGTATTCATAATTGATTGAACACTGAGTGGTGATCAATGTTATGTGTGTCAAGTCTTTGATGTTGTTGTCCAGAAGAACAATGAAAATCACATGACAGAACTATTCAGCTCAAAGAAGAAAGGTCTAAATAAATCATTCAGCTGAGCTATGAATCTTTTCTGTTATCTAAACTACTTTGTATTTTAAGCTCAAGGTTTATTAATATAAATAACATGTTTGACTTACATTTGTAAGTTTGCACAAACCTAATATACAAAGAAGATATTTTTATTATTATGTAATAAAATGTAATTCATTTGATATTGTAAGTTGGGATCAATTGATTAGTTTAGATATTCAGTCAATATAATATCATTCATAAAAAGAAAGGATAATTATGTTCAGAAGGGATTTTTGTGGATATTATAGTCATTTAAATAGTTGATATCATAAGCCAATTGACGCTAGAATATTATGGAAAACCTAGGAGCACTGGACTGCCGTTTCGTCCTATTGTGGGACTTTTTAGCTGTCTGAATCCACGATTCCGCCCCACGAGACTCGAACCCAGGACCTATCAGTCTCGCGTGCTAGCGCTTAACCTATGGACCATTGAGATTGCCATCATCTAATGGTGTTATCATCTAACTTCAACTAATCCATGAAATTGAGCACCACATCCACTGTTGTCTTCAGTGAGTTACTATCTCACAACAGATCTGGGTTCGAATCTCGTGAGGCGGGATTGTGGATGCACACTGTTGAGGAGTCCGACAACAGGACGAATCGGCCATTCAATGCTTCCAGGTTTTCCGTCGTGATCTAGCTTCATTTGTCATTTTTCATTTATCATTCATTTATTCAATTAAACAAAACTTTCACAATTAATCAATAGTTTGTCCTTCTTTTTCCTTCTCTCTTTTCTCTCTTTTTTGTTCTTGTTGTTATTGTAGAAATTTGTCTTACATACAAAAAACACAAAAATTAATATTTTGTTTCCTTCTTCAAATGATTCATCACCTATAAACTATACTACACAATAATGCACAGTAATATGGTTCCTTTTTAATAATCAATAAATTTTTTGACAATTTAAATAATTGTTTATTAAAGTTTTTTGTGAGAAATAGTTTGGAGACTATTGAAACTTAGAAGGAAATAGATAGTTGTTTCATTTTGGTGTTATGGATTCTTAATGATAATGTGTATCGACAATTAAACTAGAGGTTAAGACTAATGATATATCACAATTGATTGATCACTGGGTGGTGATCAATGTCATGCGTGTCAAGTCCTTATTTAATGCAGATCGAATGCTATCGACCAAGTTGCAGTGTGTCCACCAGTCTAGGTGATTTGACACTGCGTCACTATATGTTGAGATTAGATGGTGGTTGGAGGTAGTCGACAGGAAACCTTGAACTCGGGTTTCGTCCTACTTGGCACTCGTCAGCAAAGTGTACTTGTAATCTTGAAGGAACTAGTGCTCCCTGACGTATAGCATTCGATCTGCATTAGGAAGGATTTGGCATATATGACATTGATTACCACCC